CGGGGTGTGGGGAGTCCTCAGGCAGGTAGTGCAGGGTGTATTTGGGGGGCAGGCTGTGGGGATGAGAGCAATGCAATGCAATGCAGCAGGGTTACCACCATGCCACAGCTCCTCTGCTGCTGCAAGACGAGAGGCAGGGAGAGGCCTGGAGTGTCCCACTGCATCCACCAGCCATTGTCCCTGTCCCCTGGAGCTGGCCTGTGTAAAGGAATGCAATGGAGACTGCCAGAGGGAGATCCCAAAGGCTTCAGAGCATGTAGGGGGAGCTGGCTGGGCACACACACTCTGCCAGGGCCAGAGGCACATCAGGACAGCAAGATGGGCAGAACCCGTCTGGGGCAGCTGTCACACCCCCCAGGGGAAAAGGGGACACCCATCCAGAGAGAGATGGGCCACCTGTGGCCAAAGCACAAGGGACACTGGCGACAGCAGTGGGGAGTGCTCCCATTCCAAGCAGAGCACATCTCCACTCTGGAGAACAGCCAAGGAAGCAGAGACTTTCACCCCAGCCAGCCCCAGCAGTCCCTGCTCACCCTCTGCACTCACCGCACGTCGGGACTGATGATCTCAAGGCCAGGAGGGAGGGGATACAAGGCAAGGATCTTGTCCCACAAGGCCACGAGCCAGGGATCAACCACTGCATCTGGCCTGCAGGTGGGAAATTCAGGCTGCAGCAATATCATCTCTTCAGGATTAAGCCCTGCTACCCCTGCACATGCCCAACACTAATTCCCACAGTCACCCCAGGCCATTCCCTTCCAGCTTCAGGTCTGGGAACAAACATATCTCAGCCACTCTACACACCCATTTGCTCTCCAGGGCCCAACCACTGACACCTGAACAGGATCTCCAGCCCCTGAGCAGCACTGAGTCATTGAGGTCACTGTCCCTCAACCATCCACAGCTTTTGCCCCGTGCCAGGTAAGCACAGCTGAGGCTGCTGCAATGCCCACAGGTACAGGGCTGTGTGACACAGCCGTGCCCTGCTCTGACAGGGCTGGGGCTGAGCCAGGGGTCATGGCACACCCTGGAGAAGCAGGTAGCCCAGGTCCTGGCACGGGTGGATTATGAGCAGAGATCAGCATGTTCCCAGAGAGCTGCTGGAGCAGCCCCAAGGTGGGAGCAGCACACAACCCTGCCATCAGCCCCAGGACAGAACTGCAGGGCACCCCGGAGCCCCCCCCGCCAACCCCCCTCTGGGCTCTTACCCCAGGTCATGCTGGTCATCTCCCAAGGCCACTGGCAGCAGCGGGCTGCCCCCGAGCTGAAGCAGCCGTTTGTGCAGCTTCTTTGCGATGAAATTAAACCTGAGCAGAGAATAACACAGGGCAGGGCTGCACTGCCACAGCACCAGCACATGCTGCTAGGGCCACCAGAGCAGCACACAGGCAGAGCCAGCACTGTGTCCTGGCCCATGCCCTGCCCAGCCCCAAGATGGGACAAGGGGAGGTCCAGCTTCCTTTCAGGGCAGCTTGTGCCCTGGGCCATAGAACATTTCCTTCCCTCCAGCCCCCCACTGCCCCACAGAGCTCAGGCACACCCATCCTCCCCACTAGAACTCTTTGAGGCACACAGAACAACCTTCTGGGAGAGACCTGGGACCAACGTGGCTGGCTGCCACCTCTGTTTGATGTCCCCTGTTGCCTTGGCCCATAGCTGTGATAAAAGACTGACACATTATGTCTGACCTCTGCAGCAAAGCATCCTTGGTGAGGCTGGGAAGACAGAAAAGGGCAGAAACCTAATTCCTGGGGGTGAGAAGGGACACAGTAGGGCAAGGATTTTTTAAGGCTGGTGGGAGTTACATTTTGTCTGGGCTGCTGCTCCAGAATCAGACTCTGTCTCCCCTTACCCCCTTGGCTCTCCAGCCACTCTGTTCTCTAGTGCAGTCAGAGCTCTGAGGAGCAGCTGACCAGGGGCTGCAGAGCTGCTTACTTGGGGTAGGAGGAGTCCCCGAGGCCCAGCACAGCGTAGTCCAGCTGGCACAGGGAGCTGGCAGGGAGGTTCTTCCGGAACAGGAACCGCCAGAACATCTAGGACAGACACAGCTGGCCAGTCCTGCTGCTGCCAGGCACCCTCCTGCCTGCCTGTCCCTGCATCCCTGCTCACCCACCCGCCGGGGCCTCCTGCATCCTAGCAGAGCAGGGAGCATGGCTCTCTGCAGAAGTGCCCCTGCTCCTGCTCCCTGGGGTGTGAGTGATGCTGCTGCAAAGCTGCCCCAGCAAGAACAACCCCTGCTGGAGCTGCTCCAGGAGAGACAGCTCTGCAGCAGGAACACAAAAGCAACAGGACAGGAGCACATCCTACCTTCATGTTGTCAGGTGGGTCTCCCTGGCCGGTGGTTGCACACACAAACACCACCAAGGGCTCGTGGATGAGGTTGGCCTGTGGGTACAAACATGGCACAGTCAGGTCAGCAGCCTCCAAACTGCTCTGGAGCCAGGCTGGGACAGCTCGGGGTATTCAGCCTGGGGAAAAGAAGGCTCCAGGGAGAGCTCAGAGCCCCTTCCAGGGCCTAAAGGGACTCCAGGAGAGATGGAGAGGGACTGGGACAAAGGATGGAGGGACAGGACAATGGGGAATGTCCCTAAGCTGAAGGAGGTCAGGTTTAAGTCAGAAATTCTTCCCTGTGAGAGTGACCAGGTTCTGGCACAGGTTGCCCAGAGAAACTGTGGGTGCCCCCGGATCCCTGGAAGTGTCCAAGGCCAGGCTGGGGAAGGCCTGGAGCAACCAGCACCAAGCCTGTCTGAGTTCAACAGTGTTTGGACAACACTCAGGGACAGGGTGGGATTGTTGGGGTGTCCTGGGCAGGCCAAGAGCTGACTCAATGATCCTGATGGGTTCCTTCCAGCTCAGCTTGTTCCACGATTCCGTGGTGCTGTGGGAGGTGTCGGTGCCCGTGGGGCTGGAGCAGGGCAGTGCCCGGAGCAGTGAGTGCCCACTCACCAGGTCACAGCTGTCCAGGGCCTGCACCCGGCAGCGCAAGTGCCGGCGCCGGGCTTCTCTGCCAACTCGCTCCGCCACGTCCTGAGCTGTCCCAGTCTGGCTGCCAAACAGCACCAGGAGCCCCCGTTCTGCCATCTGCAGGAGACAAGAGCAGGAGGTCAGCAGAGGGTGTCGGAATCTGTGGGTATTGGTGATTCTGAGATTGGAGAAAGTCTCTGTCTGTCAGCCCCGCTGCCAAAGCAGAAGCCATAATTGGTCTGTGCTGGTTCCAAGGTTGTTTATTCTGTTTATCTCTAACATGTTCTGCTGCCCTGCCGCAGCTCTGTCCTGCAGGGCAGCGTGTGGGGCTCTGCCCTCAGTGGGATGGTACAAACATTAAATACCACAAACTACCTGTGCTGGATTTACAATAACGTGCCAATATCTGTCACCTACGTTGGACAGTGTGTCCCCAGCCTGAACCAACAGAAAAATGCCAACACCACAGTGAAACATGGAGGGCATGAAGAAGGAGAAAAAGGACAAGACACACCCAATTTCCTCCATCTTGTCCCCTTTGGACCCCGTATCTAGAATCCTAAAATTTTACTTTTGCCACACTTAATTATTCCTTATATCAAACACTCAGAGCTTGTAATTCATCCTGTAAGACTGAAAACTCTTTTCAATGGACAGAGATCACAGACAGTGTCTCTGGGGGCTCTGTCCAGGGGGGTTCCTGACCCCTGCCAGGGCAGCCAGAGGGAAGCCCTGGGTTCCCACAGAGGGCAGAAGAGGAGGGGAGGCAGGGCTGCAGCTGCCCCGGCCCAGCAGCTCTGAGCCCTGGGGCTGACACAGCACGCAGCCAGCACAGGGGTGGCCAAGAGCTGGCATTCAGCTGTGGGGCCAAGGCTTCCAGGCTCTGTTCCCACCCCTGTGCAGCACTGAGGGCGTGATCCCATGTCCCAGCCCATACAATAAGCAGGGACACTACTGTGCTCCTTGTCCCCACTGCCAGGCCAGGAGGGACTAAAATCCACATCCTGCCCTGCTGAGCTGCCCTGGCCAGCACAGGCTGAGCACAGCTCTGGGGCTGCCTGTTCCCCACTCCTGGTGTAACCTTCCTGTGTGTCCTGGGAATCCTCCCTCCCCTGAGGGGGCTGGGGCAGAGCCTGGAGGTTCAGCACAGGCAAAGGTGAGAGCACAAGGAGCTCTCGGCCAGACTGACAGAGCAAGGGCCCAGCCCGGAGGGAATGCAGCCCTGGGAATTGTCTGAGCTGCAAACGGCTGCCCACAGAACTGTAATAAATTAAATCTTAATAATAAAAAATAAAATCGCAGAATCACGGACTGGTTTGGGTTAGAAAGGACCTCAAGGCCCATCCCATTCCACCCCTGCCATGGCAGGGACACCTCCCACTGTCCCAGGCTGCTCCCAGCCCTGTCCAGCCTGGCCTTGGGCACTGCCAGGGATCCAGGGGCAGCCACAGCTGCTCTGGGCACCTGTGCCAGGGCCTGCCCACCCTCCCAGGGAACAATTCCCAATTCCCAACATCCCATCCATCCCTGCCCTCTGGCACTGGGAGCCATTCCCTGTGTCCTGTCTCTCCATCCCCTGTCCCCAGTCCCTCTCCAGCTCTCCCTTTAGGCCCTTCAGGCCCTGCAGGAGCTCCCGGGGATCCTCCCCTGCCGAGAGCAGCCCCGGCCCGGCCACGGACCGGCTCCATGCCGCCTCTGACGTCACCGCCGCGCGACAGCTCCCGCTGACGTCATCGGCGGGGCTGAGGCGCTGGGAGTCCCCGCTCACTGTGTCCCCGACCGATGACATCATCCGTCCGTCGCCTCTCACAGTGACGCCATCGCCCCGCGCCGGCGGGCCGGGCCTGGTGCCGGTGCCGGTGCCGGGGCCGGGGCCGGGGCCGGGCTGGGCTGGGCTGGGCTGGGCTGGGGACTTGTGCCGGTGCCCGTGCCGCTGCCGGTGCCGGTGTGCGGCCGGTGCCCGACTAGGGAGTTGTGCCCGTGCCGGTGCCGTGCCCGTGCCGTGCCGGTGCCGTGTCCGTGCCGGTGCCGTGCCGGTGCCGGTGCCGTGCCCGTGCCGTGTCCGTGCCGGTGCCGTGCCCGTGCCGGGCCCGTGCCGGGCCGGTGCCGTAGCCCCGGACGATGCTGTTCTCCCTGCGCGAGCTCGTGCAGTGGCTCGGCTTCGCCACGTTCGAGCTGTTCCTGCACGGGCTGGCCCTGCTCGCCTTCTCCGTGCTGCTCGTGCTCAAGGTGGACGGCGCGGCCGCCGCGCTCTCCTGGTGGGTCGTGTTCGTGCCCTTCTTCGCCGCCGACGGGCTCAGCACCTACTTCACCACCATCGTGTCCGTGCGGCTGTTCCAGGACGGCGAGAAGCGCCTGGCGGTGCTGCGGCTCTTCTGGATCCTCACCATCCTCAGCCTCAAGTTCGTGTTCGAGATGCTGCTGTGCCAGAAGCTGGTGGAGCACACGCGGGAGCTCTGGTACGGGCTCATCATGTCGCCCGTCTTCATCCTGCTCCAGCTGCTCATGATCCGGGCCTGCCGCGTGAACTGAGCCCCCGCCCGGGGCCGTGCCCGGGGCCGCTCCGGGGCCGCTCCCGGGCCGCTCCCGGGCCGCTCCCGGGCCGCTCCCGTCGCTGCCGCCGTGCGGAGGGGCAGGTGACAGGCGGGGACAGGGGCAGTGCCCCAGCTCGCCGCTGTGGTGCAGAGCATCACGTTTCTCCAAAAGCTGCACATCCCTGTTTGTGCCCCCTCAGCTCCTTGTCCTGTCCCGCGAGCGCAGCTGGGCATGACAGTTATTTTATTTTAGAATAAAAATGCATTGAAGGATTAGGTTTATTTCTGAGATCCTTTTTGCCTAGAAAACAGTTGTGCCTCAGACTGCTGCCTGGAGGGTGGGTGCTTGCTGTAGCTCTCCTGGTACAGCCCAGACTCCTGCCCTGCCCTGCAGCTGGCTCGTGGATTTCCATCTGTCCCCTCACTTCCCCGAGCACTTCATACCTTCAGTGCTCTGACGGGGGTTTGTGAGGGCAGGTTGAGATCACTGATTTGTGTGTTTTTAACAGGAATATGATTTTTCTTGTTTGTGTTTCACTCCATTTGCTACATATGGAAATGGTGTGGGGAGGCAGGAGCGTGCAGGGCTGGTGCTGGTTCTGCAGGGAGGTCTGACTGAGCCCCAGCCTCGGGCTGCAGCTGCCCCAGAGCCCCCCGGAGAGCAGGAGGAATTCAGTATTCCCTGTGGAAGTGCAGACCAGTGTGTGAAGTGCCAGTGTCACCAGGATGCCAGGGTGGGGTTGTCTCTGCAGGGCCAGGAGCTGCACTGGATGATCCCTATGGGTCCCCCCAGCTCAGGAAGTTCTGTGGTTCTTGCACACCCTGAGGTGGCACCGGACCTGCCTCGCAGGCGCTCCTCAGCTCCCGTTTCCCGTTGGGATGCAATCTCCCAGGGCGTGCTGTCACTGCTCCAGGTGCTCAGGTTATTCCCCTTGGAGCCTCTCAGTGGCTCTCCTGAGCCAAGGACAGTCACCTGGGAGGTGGCAGCCACCTGCTGCTGTCACCGCCAGCTCACACTCTTGCCTGGTTGTGCCACACGCCCCCGGTGACCCCGAGTGCACAGCCAGGGCTGCTCTGTCACCTGCTGTCACAGGAGCGGTGCCAGCAGCAGCCACGGGGTCCCTGCTGTGGGGCTGGCTGGGGCTGGGGGGTGGCAGCTGTGTGGGGCTGGTGTGTGCTGCAGCGCTGGGGAACATGAGAGGAGCAGGACAGGCAGCAAAGCCTCTGAGTCAGGAGGGAACACTCACCGAGTGGCCCTGGGGACCCACGGTGCCTTTGGACACTCCCACGGCTCCCGGCCACCAGCTAATTAATAAACTCAGGAAGGGGCTCATCAGCCCCAAAGAAGATCAAACAGATGATGACATCCCTCAGCCTTGCTGCATGGCACACAGCCTGCTGGGGCTGCCTGCACCGTGAGTCCCAAACCAGCTCCAGCCCTGACCCCGGGGTGGTGTCCGAGACAGGGGGACATCTCCCCGTGTGCCACATCGCTGTGCCACCCGCCTCGCCTGCCAGTGCCTTTGCCAGGGCTTTGCTGCTGCCTCGGGGACAAACCAGTGGTCAGCGTGTCCCAGCCCTGCTTCTCCGAGGTAAGGCAGCCTCCCTGGGGTGTGTGGGGACACAGGGGGGACACAATGAGACCAGCAGCTCTGGCTGTGCTGCCCTGGGGGGTGCTGGGGTGGGGGGATGGTCTCGCAGCCAGGACCACCCCGTGTCCCTTCTCAGGACTCATGCTTGGTGCAGAGGGGTCACCTGCTGTGCCCAGGGCCACCAGGTCCTGGAGCAAACCTTGCTGTGGCACTAGTGCTGGCACACCAGCCTGTGGCCACACAGAATTCTTTCTGGGAACACGCCCATGGAGGAACCCTGCTGGAGCCTCCCCACCCTGACACGGCTTGAGGGGACCCTGACAGCCCCTCCCTGCCCAGAGCGAGCATCGAGGTGTCTGGCCTGGGCTGGTGACTGCTCAAGTTCCAGCCAGCACTCTCCCCCCGCTGCAGAGCGCCCTGGCAAAGGTGAAAATGTCACCTCTGGGTTTATTCTCTTGCTGTGGCCGGTGGGGTGGGGTGGGTGCTGCTGCCAGCAGGTCCTTCCCGAGCCCAGCAGCAGGGGAGTGCCCTGCTGGTGTGCCCATGGGCATACCCTGGCAGGGAGGTGCAGCTCCCAGGGCTGCTGCTGCAGGTGCCAGCCCCAAAGCAGCATTCCTGTGGCACAGGGGAAGTGCCAGCCCCAGCTGCCACCTTCCTCCGTGTGTCCCAGCTCCTGCAGGGACGGGAGCAGCCCCTGGAGAGCCATCAGAGCCTGGGGAGGGGTACCCTGGGGAGCAGCCAGTGCTGCTGTGTCCCTGCACAGAGCACAGCCTGCCTGCCACAGCCCAGATGGGCTCCGTGCAGCAGGAGGACGGGGTTCCAGCATGGCCTGGGCCTCCAGAGGGGCAAGGGGGCTCCCAAAAGCCATCTGGGAATGGGTGGCCCAAGGGACCTCCATCCCTCCCTGCAACTTGCCATGGGCAGTGCCTGAGGACAGGGAAGCTGCAAATGGCCCAGACTGCTCCAGTCCTGCTGGAATCAGAGTGGAGGGGAGGGCTGGAGCTGGTCTCTGCTGGGACTAGTCCCAGCAAGACCCAGGGAATGTGTGGCAGAGGAACATGTGGCAAGAGCAAGTGGAGCAGCACTCCTGGGGACATGAGACATGCTCGGAGCCACCGCCTGCACCTCCCACCCTGGGACTGGGGTGACCTTATGGAGCAGAAACTGAGCTCTGGGAAATGAGACTCCCTTTTTTAACCTCGAGTCAGGGCGCTTTCCTTTCGGAAGGCACCAGGAAGGTGTTGGCAGCGGAGGTGATGTCATTTCACAAACACCCGTCAGCCTGGCAGTGGTGGCTGGCCCAGAGCCCCACCGAGTCCCCACACCAGCCTGGCAACTCCCTGTTGGGTGCCAGAGTCATTGCAAGGGCCACAGGCAAATAAATACATGCCGAAAGCAGATCAAACAGGGGTGTGTGTGTACTCTAGCCCCACTTCCCCACAGCAGATTTGTCTATCAGAAGTCAGAATGAGACACTCGGTCCCTTTCTCAATTAGGAGCAAATAGCACATTTCACTCTCAGCAGAGCACAGCCCTGAAGCCAAACAGGGCTGGGGCTGATGTGCCCAAGGACCTGAGGGGAGCCAGGTGAGAGCAGCTGCCCCTGGGGGCCCTTCCAGGTCCTGGGGTGCTCGGACACACATCGCCCTGAGACCCCGAATTTAGCAGAGACACCCCTTTGGGCAGGAGTGTCTGAAGGAAATTGAGGGCTGGATGTAGCACAGAGGCAGGGTGTTGCTGGGGCCTTGCTGGGGAGGGTCAGGGGCAATGAGGGCTCCCCTGCACAGCATTTCCCTCCCAGCATTGCCCCGTTTGACTCAGCTGAGCTAAGGCAGCTGGAACTGTGTCCTTCCACACAGATCCTTGTGCTCCTGCCAGAGCCCAGCCAGCGCAGCATCACCTGGCAGAGCTGCAGAGCTGCACGTGGGGCCAGCATGGGCAAGGGGAACAGCCCCTCAGCAAACCCTCTGGGACTGTTTCTTTACTACAAAAAGAGACAGGAAAAGTGAAGTGAAGAGTTGCTTATCCTGTGTTTGGGTTTGGAGCTGGAGGTTTTGGTCAGCTCTGGGTGCACACAGCCAGTGGCAGTGCCACATGTCCCCAAGGGACCAGGGCTGGTTGGTGCCTCTGTCCTAAGTGAGGATGAGACCCCTGTGCTCAGAACAGCCCTGTGCAGTCAGCAGGGGATTTCCAGAGCAGGGACACTCATCCCCTCCTCCCACTGCATCCAGGTGAATCCAAAGGTTGTGTGTTCTGTGGAGGTGGGAATGCAGGAGTGGTGGCACCCTCTGGGCTTCAGGAGCCGCCCCAGAGGAGACTGCCATGGGAACGTTGAAGTGCAATGTACTGACATGCCATCATATCTCAAAATGAAAGAGTTTGTGTTTATTTTGTTCTTTCAGGTAAGAGTCAACTGTGTTTTTCCAAAAATAGGGTGAGAGTTACAGGAAATGCACGACGGATATTTCCCTAAATGTCAGAGAGGGGATTTGTTGAAATGAAGACCACGAGGAGGTTAAAAATTCACTGCAGCACAGGACAAACAAAAGAACTTATGAAACACAAGGGAATAACCAATCCTGCAGTACTGGAGAGCCATGACCCGAGAAGTGAAGAGCAGGAGGACACTATAAATCAAATGACAAAGCCAAAGGACAACTTTGTGTGCTTCCAGTGCTTATTAGCATAGTAAAATCCCTGCCCACAGGCTGTGATCTCCCCTTACTCACATAAGCCCCTTCCCCACAGAGCAGAAGTAGTAAAAGAAGTGTGCAGGGTCTCTTTAAATGAGGCAGAGCCTGCAAAACCAGTGGCTGCACTAGTTGTGGTTAGCTGTAAGGAATTGCTCATTTCTATTGCTTCAAATGTGTAAAAATGAACACCTGGGATGCTGAGGGTGTGCCAGCTTTGATTCAGCACCCAGCACCCAGCACCCATCTCTGCGTAGATGTAAAATAAAACCATTATCTCCACTCGGAGCATGAATCTGCTTCTTGCCCATGGGGTGGAAGAGCCCAGATTAGGGACAGCAGGAAGAGGGAGCAGCCAGAGGAGCCCCTGCTGTCACAGCACGGTGACACTGCCAGTGCACACAGCAGCACCTCTGAAACACCTGCATGCTGCAGGGGCAGGGCAGCGAGAGCTCCAGCACAGCATTTCCCTCCCAGCATTGCCTTGTCTGGCTCAGCTGGGGCAGCTGGAGCTGGCTCTGCCCATGCAGATCCTGTGGTAGCCCCAGCAGGCTCTGTGGTGGTCCCAGCAGGCCCTGTGGTGGCCCCAGCAGGCCCTGTGGTGGTCCCAGCAGGCTCTGTGGTGGCCCCAGCAGGCTCTGTGGTAGCCCCAGCAGGCTCTGTGGTGGTCCCAGTGGCCCCAGCAGGCTCTGTGGTGGTCCCAGTGGCCCCAGCAGGCTCTGTGGTAGCCCAGCAGGCTCTGTGGTAGCCCAGCAGGCTCTCACCAGGGAGCTGCAGCAGCAGGAAGCAGCTGGGCTGTAGGGCCAGGGAGAGCAGATCCCTGCTTCCCTGTGGCAGATCCCTGCTCCCCTGCCCTTCTGCTCCCAGGGAAGTCCTGAGTGCTCCCCACTCCCTCACCTGCCCTCGGGGTCTGCAGGGCCCCAGGAGCAGCTCGAGGCTGGGTCAAACCCAGGCACGGGGTGAGCACAGTCGGTGCCTTGGCTCTCCCAAGGCAAAGCCCAGGCAGCACTGCTGAGACCCCCAGGCAGGGCAATCCTCCCCTCTGGTGTGAGCTTCCCCCTCACTGCAGGGAAAGTTCTATCAGTCCCTACCACCCCGTTAGATTGCTGGGCAGTGCACACTGCAAATGTCACTCTCACCTCTTCCAGACCGTGCAGAGAGCTTGTAAGGGAATGTGTAGGCTGGGAAGAGCACAGAGAAAACAGAAAGAGGGGCTGTGACAGCCCAGAGAAGCAGAGGGACAAGGGTTAAGTACAGTGATGTGTCCTTCATACGATACCATTCAAATGAGGAGGAAGAGGAACTAATTGGCTGAAGAGAAGGGCAATGCCAAACTGGGCCATGAATATACACCTGCAAGACAAACAGGAGAACAGATGTTCAAGAGTTCCACCTAAGGCTGGTGAGTCCTCAGAGAAAATAATGGGGGGAAGATTTTCCAGCAGTATCCGCTTCCAGAGGACATAAAAGGCAAGTCCAAGCTGCGCTTGCTGCGCTGGAGGAGCACAGAGGGACCCCGAGGGACACCAGAGGGCACGGCCTGGTGAGCTGGGGCAGTGCTTCAGGAGTGCAGGCAGGTGAGCTGCCCTTCCCAGCCTGTGGAACAGCATCTCTGCCCAGCTGCAGTGCCTCAGCTGCGGGCTCTGCAGCTCCCATGCTCTCGTCTGTTCTGTGCTGGGCTCCTCTCACCCCTCCGAGACCCGGGCATGGGAGCTGGGAGATTGCTGTGATCCCATCATGGCTCTGCCAGGCTGCAGGGCAACCAGCCCCTCTTTCCTCCAGCTCCCTGTATTTTATCCTAATGCTGCTTTTCCCAGGTAAAAATCTAATTATTCACCAGGATTTCTGAGTGGCATGGCTTGAGACAGGGTCAGCTTTCAGAGCGGATCTCCCTGCAGCTCTCACTGACACTGTTGTTCCCAGGTGTCCAGCCACACTTCTCCCATGTTTGGGTTTTCAGGAGCCTTTCCCCCGATGCTGGCCAGGAAGAAGTCTTTCACCAGTGCCATCATCGGGGCGCTGGTGGCACTCTCCATCATCGCCCTGGTTCTCAGCCTGGTGGGGGTTGAAGATGTGACACTGCCACCCACGGTCAAGGTGAGCCCAGAGAGGGTCCCTGAGCACCTGAGCCCAGGCACCTTGGGCAGGTGCTCTGAGCCAGCAGCTGCTCCGTGGGGCTGGGAGGGGCAGTGGGGTCAGGACCTGCCTGGCAGTAGCAGGGTGGGTGTTCTGTCCCCACTTGGAGGTGCAGGCAGAAGAAAGTCAGAGGGGAAGGCTTCTCTGGAACTTATCCCCACGGTGCTGTGCCAGGTTTGGTGATTACCTTGGGGCAGATGCTCCCTGTGCTCTGCCAGGGCACCCTGGTGTGCCCTTTGTGCCTGCCAGCTCCCCCCAGTCCGTCCCTACCCCCACAGCATGGCACAGACATCCTGCCGTGCCCTGGGCATGGCATCCCACCCTGCTGGAGAGGGCGGGCAGGGCTTTGGCCGGGGGGAAGGTTTTTGGGGCAGGGGCAGGTGCCTGAGTGCTCCTGGAGGGGCCCTGCCGTGCTGGCCAGGCTGGCTGCAGCCACGGGGTAGCAGGGAGCCAGCCCCAAGGTGGGGCCAGTGCAGACACAAAAGCTATGTGACCATGAAAGAAAATAAAACAGCGTGAGGAAACACCAGGAAATGTTTGTGTGAGCTGGCATCACAGCACAGAGCTCAGGAGAGGGAATGACAGTCCCTTAGTCACTGTGGGGGGCTGGGGCCACCGCTCTGCTCTGCCACAGCACAGCTGATGGCTTTTGTGCCTCAGACATGGGTTTGGGGGAATCTTTTGGCCTCACTGCCCTGGCAGGGCCAGCAGGCACTGCCGCCAGGGCCAGGCTGCGGCTCCCCCACCTTGACTCTGTGCTGATTTCCCTTGCAGTATGGGATGGTGTTTGATGCGGGCTCATCCCACACCTCCCTGTTTGTGTACGAGTGGGATTCAGACAAGGAGAACGACACTGGAGTGGTCAGCCAGACCTTGTCCTGTGATGTCCAGGGTCAGTATCCCCCTGCCATGGGCTCTGTCCTGCCCTGTCCCCGTGCTGGTAGGGTGACCTGGCTGGACAGCCCTGTCCCTCGGGCTGGCACTGTGGGCACAGGGGAGCTGTGGCTGTGGCAGGGGGTCCCTGAGCCCCAGGGCCATCAGCACCGTGTGGTGCCCATGCTCTGGGGGGACTGAAGCACATCAACGGTGAATCAGTTTTTGCTCCTCCACCTTGGAGTGCCCCTAGCTGCTGTCCTGGCTGGAGAAGGTGTCACCTATAGTGAACTGGGGACACTGCTGAAAGCATGGGGACACGGGAGAGGAATGGATGTGTGAGTCAGTCAGGTCTCAGGGGACCCTAGAAAAGTACCTCTGTTGCTCAGAGGTGACAGCCCTCACTGCCCTCTTGCTCCTGCAGCCCTGACCCAAGCCATTCCCATCAGCCTGTCCCATCCTGACTCTTTTTCAGGGCAAGGCATATCAAGCTATGCCAACAATCCCCCTGAAGCTGGCAATTCCCTGAGGGAGTGCTTGGATAAAGCCTTGGAGGTTATTCCTGCTGAGCAGCAGAGGGATGTCCCAGCTTATCTTGGAGCAACGGCTGGCATGAGGTTACTGAGGTACTGCTGGGGGCAGGGGGTGACAGCAGTGACAGAGCTGCAAACAGCCACTGCCAGGACAGTTCCTGCACAGGGCCAGGACCTCCGCTCCCACACTGCCACGAGCAAACAACTGGGGAGGGAGGAGAGGGGGAAAGGCAGCTTAGAGACACAGGGAGGGCTGAACTGTGCTGAGCATTTGTCTGTTAGGACATCCCAGGATGGTGCTGCATGCACAGTTCTAAGCAAGAAATGTTTTTCACAGCTTTGTTTGCTCTTCATTATTCCTTGATAACAAGGGGGTTGGGATGCCAGCAGATGTGCCACCTGCCCAGGTGGATGGATATGTGCAGAGGTAGGAGGCGATAAAGTGCTGCAGGTGCTGTCCTCAGCTTTCAGCAGCCCATATTAGCTCTCCTCAAATGGCAGCCTGCATTTCCTGGCTCTTGGTTTTATGGCTGCAGATAGCTCAGGTTATTTCTGTGCCCTGGCAATCAGACCTGGGAAGGAGCTGGGCCATAGCCTGAGGGTTGCTCACTTCAGAGAGCAAGAACAGCCCTGAGACATCTTCCCCACTGAGAGATCTGAACCCAGCCTGGAACCTTCCTGAAAAAACCCTGGAGGTCAGCAACCAGCCCTGTCCTGGGCAGAGCCAGGCAATGTTCAAACCCAGGTCCTGCAGCACAACCCTCTCCAGCTCCCAGCACTCAGGCAGGGAAGGGTGCCTGGGAAGGCTCTGGGTGACTGGGATCAAGCTGCACTGCAGGGGAGGGGTTGCTGTTGCTCCTAGATTGGCAATGCCAAGCTGAGACAGCTGCAATTTACCTTGGATGAGCAGCTCAGAGAAGCCATGTGGCAGAAAACCCTTTCAGACAGACTGCTTGTTGCAAAAACTGGGAGTACGTGGAACTGGGAGAGAACCAGACTTTCTCTGTGTTTCCTCTGTTGTAGTTGGGTACGTGTCCTGTCCTTTGCATCCTTCCTAGGGAACAGAACAGCTCAGCAACAGAGCAAATCCTGGCTGAGGTCGCTGAAACCATGCAGGAGTACCCTGTGGCTTTCAAAGGGGCTCGGGTCCTTACAGGAGAGGAAGAGGGTGCCTATGGCTGGATCACCATCAACTACCTGCTGGACTCCTTCACCAAGGTGGGAGAAGGGTGGAACACCCTTTGCTATAGACCTTTTCTGATTTTCCTCAAGCTTTCTCAGTGTAGGAGAGGTCAGGGTTAGTGGCTTTTGGGGATGATCCAAGGGAAGGAGACACATCCTCTGGTTTGCGCACAGTGAGGGAGAAGGGAGAGCTCAGGAATGAGGGTGTCTGTTGAGAGCTCAGGGCACTCTCCACAGCAAGTGCTCAGAGGCTCTGGGGATCTGTGGGGTCGGTGCAGCACAGCTGGGCTCTGTCTCCCTGCCAGGGAAGCTCCATGTCCCTGCAGCGCCGGAGACTCCAGCTGAAGGAGCTCAGAGCAGAGCTCTGCCCCAGCCCTGGCACAGCTCCGTGCGGTGCTGGCAGGGGGAGGCTTGGACAGAAATCCTTCCTCCTGCATCGGGACCCTGCAGCCTCCTTGGGAAGGGCGAGTCCCTGGGCCAGCTGCCACCAGCACTTGGCCTGGGTGTGGAGACTCAGAGCCAGGTGAGCCCACAGCACAGCAGCCCTACTGAGCCCCTGAGAGTTCCACCTCTGCGTGGCTCTGAGAAACATCCCAGCTGTCTGGGCAGGGAGGGTAGGGGGGTCTACATGCTGACACGTGGATGAAAAATTAAAACTTTATCATTTTAATAAAGATTTGTAGGGAAATTGTCTTTTTTTTTTTTTTTTTTTTTTTTTTTATTTTAGTGCTGGGTGCACACTGGGATTTTTCTTGCTGCAGGGATCTCTCTTTAAAGGGCATGTGTGCCCCTTGAGGATTTCTGATTCTTTTTATTATTTTGCACTAATTTATATATATATAGACTCTTACAATAGGTTTATGTATATTTATTTTGTTGATTTCGAGTTACAATTTACAGTTGGCTCTTTGTATAGAGAACTTTCTAATTACTTTGTCTTTTTTGTACACTTCTTTTCTTAGTTTTAGAGTTTAAGGAGCCCCTCTTATTTTTTTACTTTGGAGATTACATTCTTTTTTCCTTGGCTGGGACAGTTTTATAAGCACAGTAGAGTTAATAGACTAAACAGCACATTTATTCATGTTAGTGAGCTACTACGCAGTACACTTTACTTAAATCTAGATGGATTTTTTACCTTGTTAAATTTTATTCTGTTTTATCCCCCTCTTTTTACATATAAGTAAATTCTTTTATTTAATGCAATTAACTATACTAATAAGTGTCTCTTAATGCTTTACTATGTATATTTGATAAGGAGGTTAACACAGCTATTTGCTGTAATATTCTTTAATTTTAAATCAGCAATATGAAGGATAATTTTAAACTTATTTTAACTAATATTAATAAAACTATAATGGGGCGACACAACTTATTAAAATCTTATTTGTAGTTGGAGACTATCTAAAGATTATATCTTACTAGTGATGATTTGCATACTGTTTTATCTTTTGCAGACTTTTGGTTATTTCTTTGGTATTATGATGAATAGTAACTAGGGTTTTTTTTTTTTTTTGCTTTTTTGGATTTTTTTTTTTTAATTTTAATAGGTCCTGGTGTTTAGTTAATTGTTTTACTAATGTGAGGTCTATTTTAATAGGAGTGGGTGATAGTTTCAGAAAATCCAGATGGATTTTCTACCCTGTTAAATTTTACTCTGTTTCAATGCAGAGGCCCATTGAATTTAATATCAATATGCTGTTGTCTTCCATGGAATGAGAATTCTGCTCAGGACATTCTGTGCTAACCCACTTCCTCTCCTGGCTCTCGTTGGCAGTACTCTCCCAAAGCACACACGTGGCTTCATCCAGAGGCAGCCAACATTTTTGGGGCACTGGATCTTGGAGGAGCATCCACTCAAATCACCTTTATGCCCGAAGGTTCAGCACTGAGGCAGAATGGAGCCTCTGAGTTCACCCTGTATGGGTACAGACACAACATCTACACTCACAGCTACCTCTGCTACGGGCAGGACGAGATGCTGCAGCGGCTGGCGAAGGAATTAATTGTGGTGAGAGGCACACCATTAATGAGGCCTGTCCTGTCATGATGCCAACCACACACCTGCTGATGCACAAAGGAAGGACAGGCAGGGCTCTTCTGGAGAGGCATCAGGGAGGACTGAGAGCAAGGACAGACTCCTTGGAGCATGGCAGGGCAAATGTGGAGAGGAGCACGGGTATAATGGAATCCCAGACTGGTTTGGGTTGGAAGGGACTTTAAAAATCATCTCGTTCCACCCCCTGCCATGGGCAGGGACACCTTCCACTATCCCAGGCTGCTCCAAGCCCTGTCCAACCTGGCCTTGGACATGTCCATGGATGGGGAAAATGTCAAAAGGGGCAGTTTGGGATCTTCTGGGCTTCACATGGGGTATGCAGAAATGCAGGACCAGGCTCTTCTCAGAGGCGGAAACTGCCAGGACAAGAAGCAAGGGGCACAAGCTGGAACATCTGAGCTTCCAACCAGACAAAGGGGACAAGTTTTCCCCAGTAGGGATGATCAGATATTAGAATAAGACCCAGAAATGCTGTAGAGTCGTTGTCTCTGGAGATCCTCAGAACTGGATGGGTCGAGGCTTTGAACAGCCTGCTCTGCCTAGTTGATCACGCCTTAACAAGAGGGTTGTCACAGGGAACCTACAGCTCCCCTAAACCTCAGCTACTCTTCACAACCTGAGAAACATGAGCTGAAGACCTTTCTCAGGCCAATTTTTGGAAAGTCAGAGGTGAAGAGCATATTCATGGAGCTGCACCTCACCAGCAGAGCAGCCTTGGTGAGCCAGAAGGGTTTGCCCTTGCTGTATGGCCAGGAAGGTCCCACATTGTGACCCTGGATGAAGTTGGAGCTAGAACCAGAGCTAGAGCTGGTTTTAGAGGTTTGAGCTGGTTTTAGTTTTAGCCTCTCTAAAGCTAGAGAGGGCTTTACATGTCCCCAGGAATGATCCTTCTGGGCAGAGCAGAGACATGCTGGGTCCTTGAAACTGGGCTTCTGTGGGAGAGGGAATGAGATAAAGCAGAGTGAGAATTAGTGCTGGGTTCATGCTGGGACAGCCAACTAGAGCAGGACCGAAGGGCAGGAGGGCCTTTCCCTGCAGAGGAGTTAGGAATGCTGGAATGCTTTGGGGACATGCTGGCTGTGTCCACACGCAGCCAGGAGTTCCAGAGGAGCTGCAGCTGCATTTTGCTGTCCTAGGAGTCGTCCCCCAGCAGACGAGTCCGCCACCCCTGCTACCCAGAGGGCTACAAGGAGACCGTGTGGCTGTCCTCCTTCCGCGCCAGCCCCTGCACGGACGGCAGCGACCCGCGCCTGCCCCTGGGCGACGGCAGCGCCACCCTGGAGGGCAGGGGTGATGCCAGCGGCTGCCGGGCAGCCCTCAGGAAGCTCTTCAACTTCTCGGCGTGCGGCCAGAGCCAGGACTGCGCCTTTGACGGCGTCTACCAGCCCCCGCTCCGGGGGAAATTCATTGTAAGAAAAATCCGTCCTCCCAGCTCCTCGGAAAGGCGTCCCCGGTGCTGGGCTGTCCCCGCTGCCCCATGGCATTGTCACCTCCTGCAGGGAACAGGGCCAAGAGGCTCCCCAAGCACCAGTGCTGGAGGGCACACTGGGCATTGCTGTTGGATGGTTTTCCAGCCAAATGTCCAAAAGGGACCATGCAGAGAATCATCGAATCCCAGACTGGTCTGGGTTGGAAGGGAACTTCAAGCTCATCTTGACCTCCCTGCCATGTGTAGGGACACCTCCCACTTATCCCAAGGTGCTCCAAGCTCTGTCCAACCTGGCCTTGGACATTCCCATGGATTTGTTAAAAAAAAAGTGTTTGTCAATAGGAATTGAGGCTTCAGGCAAGGCTCTGGCTGTGCTGGCCGTGCTGCTGTCACCAGCAGGCACCAACCCCCAGCCCATCGCCTGCTGAGACAGGCACAGGGACAACAATGCCCCAGGACTACCTGGGGAGGGACAAAGCCCATGAAGGCAAACCCCACCTCCTGCTCCAGGCAGCTGCCGGGGTGCCCCACTGCAGCTCACCAGTGCTTCTGTCTGTCGCCTTTCAGGCCTTCTCTGCCTTCTACTACAACTTCAAGTTCCTGAACCTGACGGAGGGGCAGCCGCTGGCCGTGGTCAGACAGGCCATCGAGGGGCTCTGCACAAGGAGCTGGGAGGATGTACGTTCCTCAGGATGGAGGCTGTGTGGAATATTCAGAAGCAAAGGGATCCTGGGGTGGGGGGAGGGAGTGGAGACCCCTTCAGGGCAAGGCTCTCAGGTTCTGAGCTGTGTCCTACACAGCAGAGCCACCCTGGAGCTCTGTGGGGAGCTGGGACTGTCCTGTGTCCACTCCTTGCTCGTTCACCCTTGGGAAAAGGGCAGATAGGGCAGGCAAGGGCACCAAGCAGCTGGGGTTGGAGGTGGGGATGGGGATGCCAGGGAGGATAGTGAGAGGAGAGCCAGCTGCTGGCACCATGCTGGAGACAAGTCAAATCTTGCAATCATAGGATTCCAGACTGGTTTGGTTGGGAAGGCTGATCTTGTTCCACATCCCTGACATGGGCAGGGACCCCTTCCACTAGACCAGGTTGCTCTAAGGTCATCCAATCTGGCCTTGAGCATTTCCAGGGATGGAGCAGCCAAAGCTCCTCTGGGCAATAAATGGGGGTGGATAAGCCCAGAAATGCACCAGCACTACCATGGGGCAGAGAGCAGGAGCCCCTTGCATGAAGAGGCTGAGATGGGAGAACTGGGGCAGGAGGAGCTACATAAACTACAATATGTGCCTCTGTTTCCATGTGGAGTGTAAATCCTCCCCAGAGGAGTTGCCCTGCATAGAGAGGTTCAGTTACTGCCTGGCCCAGGAGTCTCTTCCTGGAGGTTGGTGACTGTGGAGCCACTGCCGCTTGTGCAGCACATTTCAGGGCTTTGTCTCTGCACAGAAATGGCCTGTCAATAACTGCCCTTCATCCCCAAACATTCCCCACCCCAGCTCTCTTCCAGCTACCCCAAAGAGAATCCCAAGAGACTGCCGAAATACTGTGCCAATGCCAACTACATCCTCACACTCCTCCTTGATGCCTACAAGTTCAACGAGACCAGCTGGAACAATATCTTCTTCCAGATGAAGGTGGGCAGCGCTGCCAGGCCGTGAGGGGGAGCAGAGGTGGTCCCAGAGGGGAGCAAGCCCCATGCTGGGGTTCTGGGGGAGAACTAGCCCCGTGTTGGGGTGCTTGGGAGAGCCAGACCCTATGTGGGAGTGCTAGGGAGAGCCAGCTCCACACTGGGGTGCTGTGGGGGAGCCAGCCCCTGTGCTGGGGTCCTGGGAGGGAGCCAGCCCCCGTTTTGGGGTGCTGGGGAGAGCCAGCCCCCGTTTTGGGGTGCTAGGGAGAACCAGCCCCCATTTTGGGGTGCTGGGGAGAGCCAGCCCCTGTTTTGGGGTGCTAGGGAGAGCCAGCCCCATGCTGGGTGCTGGGGAGCAGCGGTGCAGAGCCCTGCTGCCCCATCCCATCCAGCTGTGGGCACAGCTGCCGCACGCTGTGCAGCAGAGCAGCGGCGGGCGGGCGGGTGGCTGGTGGCAGCAGTGGCTCTCCTGCAGGGCTGACCTGTCCCCTCTCTCGGGCAGGCCGGGGGTGCTGAGCTGGGCTGGACGCTGGGGTACATGCTGAACCTCACCAACATGGTCCCGGCCGAGGTGCCGGCCAGGCTGAAGGGCCACAGGGCTCCCCTGTGGGCTGCAGCCATCACCTTCATCATCCTCACTCTCGTCCTGGGGCTCGCTGCCCTGCTCCTGCAGCTGTGGGTGTAGCAGCCTGGCCAGGGGAGCCCAGCGGGGACAGACTGGGCCGTGCTGGAGTCCCCACGCTCCCGCCTGCGCAGCTGGGCCTGTGCTGCTGAGCACAGTCACCTCCACAGCTCCAAAAGCTGGGGTGGCTCTGCTTTTCCATGGGCCTGGCCCCAACATGCACACAGGCACTCGCTGAAGTTCCCAGAGGAGCTCCACTCCCATGGACACACAACAAGATCAGCCTGCAGGAGCCTCAGGCAAGCCTGTGTGCCTCCTGTCACTGCTCTGCGTGTTACAGCCGTGGCTCCATCCCACCAGCTGGCCCTGGGGTGTGCAGGGCCAGCCTGGCTGTGGGACAGTGCCCCAGGGCCAGCCTGGCTGTGGGACAGTGCCCCAGGGCCAGCCTGGCTGTGGGACAGTGCCCCAGGGCCAGCCTGGCTGTGGGACAGTGCCCCAGGGCCAGCCTGGCACGGCACAGCGCAGGCACCTGGGCACAGGGTGCTCCATGGAATGCCAGCTCTGAGCACAGTCACCAGGAGCCAGGCGGGTCCCTGCCAGGTCTGCCAGCCTGAGGGATGCTCTGTGGGACCCCAGCTGGCCCTGTGCAGGGTCTGTGGCTGGGGCTTATGTGGAGATGGTCTTGGAGAAAGAGCACCCCAGTCAGAAGTGTGGTCGCTGCCCCTCCAGAGAGTCCGTCTCACCATCTCATCACCGCGTCATGTCACGTCACCTGATCATCACATCTCACCACTCATCTCATCCTCTTCCTTTCCACCTGGAATAAGGCATTGGTGTTCCTCAGTGCCTTCCTGGAGACAGCACTGTGCCACCAGCAGAAGGCCTGGACCCCATGGGTGTCAGGATGAGGCTCCAGCAGGCTGTGAGGCCTGCCCTGCTTGTGGCTGAGCTGGGTCCTGCCCACAGCCTTTGCCTTTGCTTCTGCTCATTTTTAGCTGCTCTGTGGATTATTCTTCTTGTGTTCCCACAGTGAGGAACAGACCTTTGGTGTCCCTGTGGAATGCTGGGCACCTCACAGTTCTTCTCATCCAAATAAACATTATGAAAGGCAGCAGATGGGGAAATGCCTGCTACTTTGCTCCCAAATGATTGTGACTTTATTTCTTCTATCTCCCAGGTAAGGGCTGGTGATGACAGACTCAGGGGAGGCAATGAATCTATGGGAGGTGTCCCTGCAGACACTGAGGTGTCTGCTGGACCTTGCAGTGGAGCCAACAGGGCACAAGGACAGGCCTTTTCCTTCTCTGAGGAGGTGTCTCAACTCACCCATCATTTGACTGCCAGTGAGACTCCCCAAAAATGTATGGGGGGCCCTGTGAGTTGCTTCTGCCATGTCCCAGCAGTGTGCCCAAGTCACCCTGTGTTGGCAAGGGAAGATGAGCTATCTGCCAGGCATGGGGCAGACAGGTGGGGTACCGGTGGACTGGAGAGAAACATCATGCAGGAGACGAGGACGCTGTGCCAACCCCCCCTCACAGGGCTTCCCAGTCCTGGGCAGAGCCCTGTCAGCCAGGCCAGTGTCCCAAACATCCCCAAAGCCACGGCCCCTGGGGCTGGCACTGGCCATGGGATGGGGCAGGATGTGTGTGTCCCACCTGTGTCCCACCCAGGGCTTCTGCTGTGGGCTGTGACCAGCCCTGTGAGAGTTCCACTGCTGCCCAGGCCCCTGCTCCAGCCACCCCACAGCATGGTGGTCCCCAGGCTCCAGCGCTGAGCCCCTGCCCTGCATGGCCAAGCCGTCCCTCCTGGAGCATCTCCAACCAGCAGCACAGGGAAAGGAGAACAGAGAGCACACAGCTATGAGGAGGGTGTTTTACAGCTGTGCCAGTTCCAGCTCACCAGGCCAGCACTCAGGGCCCCTCAGGACAAGTTCATGGCCTCTGGGCACACAGGGGTGGTTCTCGGGAAGCAGCTCCTTGCAGAGTGTGGCAGGAGGACTGGTGGCCTGGCAGCCCCTGGAGGCAGTGCTGCTACAGCTGCTCATAGCCGGAGGAGTCTCTCTGGCAGCACGTGGCTGTGAGCAGGCAGGAGCTGAGGAGGAGCATGATGGCCAGCAGAACCGTGGCTGCTATCCAGATGCTTCTCAGGAGCCCCACGACTGCTGGGGGAGGCTCCGAGGGGATCATGTTGGTGAGATTGAGCATGTAACCCAGAGTCCAGCCCACATCTGTGTTAGCAACCTGTGCAGACAGACAGGGAAGAGGGATGGGAAAGGCTGCAAAGTGCCAGGCAAACTAGAGAAGAGCCTGCACCCCCAGCTCCTGCTCCACAACCACCATTTCTGTGCCCACCTTGGGCTGCAGAGGCCATAAACGGGGAGAGCACGATGTGCCAGGCCAGATGTGCCAGCAGCTGCGTGAGTGTAGCTCAAGAGCTGCCCTGGGTATGGGCAGCGGGGCTGTGCTGCCCTGCTATCCCCCGTCCCAGCAGCAGCAGGGTGGGCACAAGGCACTTCATGGCACAAAGTGTGGAAGCTGGGCGCTGCAGGACACTCTCCTACCTGCCGGATGAAGTGGATGTTAGGCCATGTTGTGACGTTGAATTTGTAGCCTTGCAGCAGGAGGGTGAGGGTGTAGGAGCTGGCTGTGCAGGCATCACGGATCTGGGTCCTGCTCGCTGTGGGGAACAACTCCTGCACCTGCAGAGGTGGGAGAACAGGGGGAGGCTGGACACAGACGGCGCTGGATGTGCCCACACTGGGGAACAGCCCCTCAGTGCAGCTGGGAGCAAAGAGACCCGGGGACTGCAGGCTGCTCTCCCACCTCTCTCCAGGTGCAGAGACCTTTGTGCTCACCCTGGCTCTCTACAGCTGACCACAGCAGAGGATGGGCTGTGGATGAGCCTTCAGGCTGCCCAGTGCCCAGGTGAAACACAATCCTGGACAGAATCTCACCTGTTTCCAGCTGCTGTTGCATATCTTCCTGATGGTGGCATTGACCAAGCTCAGGGACTGCCCTCCTGTCAGGTTCAGAAAGTGAAGGCTGTGATAAAACCCTGAGAAGGCCTGTGGGTGTCAAGACCAAAGGTGACAGGTTAGTGAAGCACTCAGGCCACTGATGCCCCCAGCCCTATGCAGGGGCCCCTGTAACGGGGACAATCACTGCAAGGTGCTGGCAATGCCCGTGTGGGAGGGAGCTCGGGAATGCTGCCCACACAGACAGGGAATGGTACTGGGAGAGCAGAGGTCTGGGGCTGCCTGGCACGCAGGTCAGCACCCCCTGTGTCTCCATTTGTCAGGCACAACCCACCTCCCAGGGCTGGCACTTCCAGACACTACTCAGACACTTCCAGAGCAGTTTTCCAGGGGCTGTGCCCCAAAATCCCATTGGCCCTCCCCAGGGGCGGGGTCGGTGGCTGCTTACGAAGAAGTGTCCCCGCACAGGGGGCTGATAGACCCCATTGAACCCGCACGGCCCCTGCGCCCCGCAGCTGAAGTCGAAGAGTCTCTGGACGGCCGCGTGACACGTGTCTGTGTCCCCTGTCCCCGTCACCGTGAGGACGAGGCCAGGCCTGGCTGAGCTTGGCGCACGCACACAGGGGCTGTTGTAGAGCTCTGCCACGGTGATGGTCTCCTTGTACCCCTTGGGGTAGCAGGGGTGGGAGATCTGGGCACGCGAGCTGGCCTGGAGAGAGACGGAGCCGTTCATGGGGCTGCCATGCCACTGAGACCCTTCCCGCAGCCCATCCCAAAAAGCAGGACCTGCACCCCAGGAGGGCTGGATGCACCCCACCTGTGAGCTCCCTGAGAATCCCTGGCTCCCACAGCACCGGGTTCTGCCTCTGTCCCCAGGCTGTTGTGCAGGGCCTGTGCTGGGAAACCTCTCTCTGGGCAGGAATGCAGCAAGGCCGAGAGAATGGTGACAGCAGAAAAACTACACATACAGCTGGCCTTGGGAAATTACAAAAAATGCCACTGCATGTCAGGGTGTGGGGAGAAGGGAGCCCTGGCTGGCAGCCACCACCACCTTCCACCCAAAAGAGACAATTTTTTGCTTCCCTAGATGAAATGCAAGGCTCTGCCAATTCCCAACTCTGTGCCCAGGGGCACGCCCAACACTGCAGGGGGAGATGTGCCATGGCACTGGGAGATGGCTGAGCAGCCCCCGTGCCCCGTGGCACCTGGTGCAGAGCTGCCAGCAGCATCTTCAGGGCCTGGCTCTGCCCGTAGCACAGGTAGCTGTGGCTGTACAGGGAGTAGTCGGTGCCGTACAGCCGGAAGAACACGGACGTGTTCCTGTCCTCCACGGGCACCCCGGGCTGGAAGGTGATCTGCGTCGAGGCACCGCCAAGGTCCAGAGCTCCCAGAACCTCGGTGTCCTGGGGATGTGCCCATTTCTCTGCAAACGAGAACTGGCCCAACACACAGCAAGGGTTAGGCTGAACTGCAGGCACTCACACTCACACTCCCTTCCCTCCAGGAGTTTGGGGCTCAGAAGCCCCACAGGCACCTTCCACATCCCCCTGGTTCCCTGTTTTACCCCCGCCTGCCCACATCCTCCTCAACCCACAGACACTTCCACAGAGCACTGAGGTGCGGCCTCTTGGCTGCTGCACATCTGCTGGCATCCAGACACTCTGATCAGGGAAAAAGGAACTCTCTATCCCGGAGCCTGCTCCCGCTGCCCTGTCCCTGGGATCCCAAAATCCACCTGCGTGTCAGCACACGAGAGCACAGGGCCAGGCTGAGCTGCACACAAAGATCCTGTTAATCACATTAATGGGGTGGGATCTGCAGCCCACGACCGCAGGGGACATTTAGCTGGGGGACCAGTGCCCCAAAGTTCCACTCTTCCCTCCTCTGCACATCAGGAAAGGCGGCTGTACCTCAGACAGGGACCTTCTGCCCACTGCCCCTCCCCTGCCCTCTCCCCAGCTGCACCTTGACCAGTGTCTCCAGCAGGTAGTTGACAGTGATCCAGCCAAAGGAACCCTCCTCACTCCCCGTCAGGATCCGAGCTCCACGGAAATCCACAGGGTACGCCCCAATGGCCTTGGACACCTCGGCCAAGACCTGCTCGGCCTTGGTGCTGTTCTCCTCCCTGCCAGCAAAGGCACAAACACCTCAGGTGCTGCAGGCCTGGCTGGCAGCTCTGGCAGCGGGGCTGGCACCGAGAGGCTGCTGTGCCCTGCCCAGGAGCTGCTCCGAGACATCTCCCCAGCACTTCCCTGCCCGCAGGTGGCTCCTGCAAACCCCAAATCCCTCACCCGGGGCCTTGGCACTCTCCCTAAAGCAGCTGCCCCAGGCTCTGCTGGAGCCCTGGGAAAGTTGGTGCCACTCTGGCAAAGGGGGCTCATCCCCTCTGGGGCTGCTGCCAGGCTGGCTCTGCAGAGGGCCGGGCGCTCCCCCGGGCACGGCCAGCGGCTCTCCCGGCACCCCGCGGCACCGTGGCCAGGGCTGCTCTGCCCATCCCCACGGCCTGGCCGGGCAGCAGCCCTGTGGCCCGGCCCGTGTGCCCCGGTGCCAGCCCCGGCTCCGGCGGGCGCAGGAGCGCCGGGAGGGCAGCAGGTGCCGGCCTGGCCGTGCCGGTACCTCAGCAGCCGCATGCCGGCCGTGGCCCCCAGGTACGTGGGGGTCTCCCGCTGCTGCTCGGCCGGGACGATCTTCATGGCCCTGTCCAGGCACGGCTTCAGGCCGGCGCCAGCCCCCGCGGGGTCGTCTGCGTAGCTGGAGATGCCAGGTCCTGCCACAGGGAACCGCTGATGGAGAGAGCCCAGCGCCAGCCCGGAGGGACGGCACAGGGGGGACATGTTCACCCGTTCCCCGAGAGCTCTCCTGGCTGCTCTGACACACACGGGTGTCCCAGCCACAGCCCCAGCCCTGCTCGCTTTGGAGCTGCAGATACCAAAATGCCAACTGCCGCCCCAGGAGCTGTCAGGCACCACCTGAGTGGAGACACCACATTGCTAAGGGACTTGTGCAGGGCTTTGGGGAGGCCCCGTGGGCACACGAAGCTGCACATAATGAAACAAGGTGCGGGCAGATGTGGTAAGAAGAGCCAAGGAAGCCAAAGCAGGGGAGAACGAGCAGAGGGCACATCCGCCTTCCCAAGCTGTGAGGTGATGTGCATCTGGATAGGACTGCCTGCAGGACCTGAGCTAAGTGAGGGCCCAATTCCACCCCCACCTCTGCAGCTCTCAGTGACTGTAGGGCTGCCTCAGGTGCAGACCATCCCCTGACCCTTTCCTGTGATTCCTGACAGGGCAATCTCCCTTCAGCGCAGAGCAGGCTGAAAGACTCGGGTCAGTGACGGTGCTGGGAGAGTTTGGGACAGCGATCCAGGAGGCTGGCAGAGAGGAAGGGCAGATCCCAGCACTCACCAGCCACAGAGCAGGCCTCCACCTGGGACACAATGCCGGTGTCGTTCTCCTTGTCCGCGGGCCACCGGTAGATGTAGAGGGACGTGTGTGTGGAGCCAGCGTCAAACACCAGACCGTACTGGGGAGGAGAGGGGACATGGGGCTCAGGGCTGCACCAAGTGCCATGGGGGTTTCTGAGAGCTTCTGCTCTTGCTTCCCCTGTGCGACCGTGAGCAGCAGAGGTCTGCACATCACCCTCCCTTCAGCAGCTCTGCTCCACCTCTAACAGACCCGGGTTTGCCACTCCAGCGAGTCACAGGAAGGACGCGCAGGTCAGCGGGGTGATCGCAGAGCAGGGAGGCAGCTGAGCATGGCCCAAAGGGCTCAAGCTGCTCCCAGGCCTTTGGCAAATCTCACAAAAGCTGACGTTTTTTAACAGAGCAGCAGCAGAAAGCAGTAGGGAAGAGAGGTGTGAACCCAGCAGGTGACCTGGATATGTGAAAACAGGGAGGAGAGTGACTGTGGTGGCAGATGGATCAACTGTGGAGAGAAGGGTGCACTTCTCTCTTCCATCCTTACCAAGCAGCCACGACCGTGGTTTGGGGGAGGTTGATCTGCCCAGTGCCACCTTGATGAGGCTAAGTCCTGTAAAGCTGGCCTGATTATGGGGAAACTCGCAAGCTGAGTGGGAGGCAGGTCTGATGGAAGAATTCCAGGTAGAAAGGGGCTGATGGCATTCCCAGGCTCCCGCAGTTCTCACTGGACACCTACTTTGATCCTGGTAGGAAGGACAGCATCCTTTGCCGGGATCAGGACCAGGACGAAGACAACTCCCGTCAGCAGTCCCAGCACGGCCGCCGAGCCCCAGCCCACCGGCCCGAGCAGGCGCGGTGCCATCGATGGGGGCTGGGGAGGTCTGCAGGAAGGGATGGATGGGGAGGGGTCACTGCGGAGGGATGGTGTGGTAGATAGGGACAGGCGGAGCGGAAGATCGCGGAATGTCATGGAAAGATAGACCCCTTCCCCCCTCTCTCTTCCCTGCTTATCTGCTAACCCCAGGAGTCAGAGAAGAATGTAGCCACACCTGTTCTGGTAAAATTCCACTACCCACTATCCTCCGAGACCCCCAACCCCCCTCTGACGTAGCAAAGACCCCTAAAACCTATTTAAACCCACGAAATAGGATAATAAACGCTTTTCAACCGTCTGCCATATTGGTATCTGCGTGTGTTGATTAGCCCGAGTGGCTTGGACGAGACCAGGCCGCCGTGCTGCCATCTGAACCAGGTCCTTGGTTGTCTTTCATAAAGGCAACAGGATGGTCTTTGGGAGGTCTGGGGGAGAGGGTCTGCAGAGAGGGACTGTGGCCAGGGGCGGCTTTCGGGAGGAGGGTGTATGGGGAGGGAGGCTCTTTAGGAGGAGGGTTTGGGGGGAGGGATGGTCTTTGGGAGCCGGGTCTGTAGGGCAGGATGGTCTTTTGGAGGAGGATGTGTGTGAGGGATGGTCTTTGGGAGGATCTACGGGACGGGGGATCTTTGGGAGGGTCTGCGGGAAGGGATGGTTTTGGGAGGGTCTGCGAGGAGGAGGGGACTTTGCCAGAGGAGCGCCGAGCGGCCGTTCTCTGCCCCGAGCCTCCAGCCCCTCCGGGGGTCCATTTCACCCTGCAGCTCGTGGTACCCCACCCCCTAAGTGACCCCCTGGGACACGAGCTGGGCGGGTGGGGAGACCATGGACTTGTCTGGCCCCGAGCGCCGGGAAGGGGCAGGGGTGAAGCTCCCGCCTGCCGCGGTCCGGCCGTGCCGTACCTGTGCTCGGAGCCCTCTCCGTCCCTCCGGGGGCGGCGATCGGGGCTCAGCCCGTTCCTCGCCGGCTCTGGGCCCAGCCTGCCCCGGCAGAGCAGGGCGAAGCGAAAGCGAAGCTGAGCCGCTCTCGGACGTCCGGGTCCGGCCCCGGCCGGGGCGGGCTCTGGGCGCTGCCGCGGGCGGAGGGACGGGGAGCTCGGGGCTGCGCATCCCGCACCGGACAGCCGGCCCCGGCCTGCCTGGCTGCTGCCTTCCCCTCCCTGGCTGTCCCCTGACTGTCCCCCTGCTTGTACCTTCCTTGTACCCTGCCTGCTCCCTGCCTTTCACTGGCTGTGCCTCTGCCTGCGCCCCTGCCCTGTCTGCCGGTACGTCTGCCTGCATCTCTGCCCGTACCTGCCCGCTCGCTGCCCGCACTGTCCCAAAGCCGCGGGACTCTGGCCATGGACAGGCGCTGGCCACGGGGTCAGACGGGAGCCTGGCAATGGGGCCCCTTGGCAATGGCTCTAACCGTGGGGACAGTTCGGTACCCGCCCGTGGGGATGGATCCCCCGTGATGGCTGCGGGGACAGCTCTTCACCAGCCAGGTCTTTCCTGTTTCTGTCCCGAGCCCCGCTGCCAGCCTGGCTCGGCCTGCAGCAGGACAGTGGGGGTCCTGCAGAGCCGGGTGACAGCAGGGTGACCGCAGGGTGACGGTCAGGCTCAGCCCCTCAGGGCGTTTGTGCAGCTCTGGCAGGGGTGTCTGAGGCTCCCGGAGCTCGGCAGCGCCAGGAGCTCGCAGGCTCGGGGGCAGGGGCTGCCGGGGATCTCCCCCGCTTATCCCCGCGGGCAGCGCAGCGGCCCCGCTCCAGGGCTGAGCGCCCAGGCTGTTCGCTCCTCCGGCAGCGAAGTGGTTAATCCCGGATGCTCTTTCCACCCCGGCTGCCCAGTCGCAGCCCCGCTGCCTCCCGGACAAGCGCTCTCCGGGGCAGGTCGCTGGTCCGGGACCAAGGGGAAGGCCGGGCCGGCGGGCAGCCTTTGTCCCGGGCGGGCCCCGGCTCCAGGTGCGCGCTGAGCCGGGGCGAGCGCGGCGGTGCCGAGCGGCGGCGGAGCCGACGGGGTGAGCGGGGCCGGGGCTGCTGCCCCTCGGTGGGGCTGCACCGGGAGCGGGCCCTGGGCAGCAGCGGGGGCGGTGCTGGGGGGAAACACGCTCCGTGGGCCGCTGGGGGAGGACGAGAGGGCCGGGGCGACCTCTCGCCGCGCGAGGCTCCCGGGTGCAGGGGGCAGTGCGGAACGGAGGGGACGGGGGCCAGGCATGGAGGGCACTGCCAAGACCCAGTGTTGGTGCGAGGTGGGATGCAGGGAACTGCTCTGCCTGGCAAGGATGCTCCTGGCATCCATAGTCACCCTCTTAGAACTTTCAGAGCTCTTTTGGCTTCCAAATCTCAGATGTGCCCAGTGGGAAGTCAGCTCCCCATTGTCCTGAGCAACAGGCAGTTGAGATCCAGCAGTGGCTCTGAGTCTTTTGCCCCAGTTTTTGAGGCCCTGCTCCCTGTGCACAAGGGATGCTGCAAGTGAGGGATGTCCCACAGGTCATTGTCAAGCCATTTGTCATGGCCAGTCCTGCACAAACAAGTGCAGACTTGGTCCAGCTGCTGGGCACAGCTGGAAACTTTCCACACCTGCAAATGGGCAAGCACTGTGCAGCGTCGTGCCTCCTCTGCAGCTCTGGAGGCATCAGCACCACCCTCCTGTCCTGCTGCTCCCTGATCCTGCACGGATGGTAGCAGGCACTGGAGCTGGCCAGCCCCAGGATGCCACAGAAAGCCTGGGCAGATCGATCAGCTTCTCACATTGTTTCCCACCCACTGGGCTCCCTTTCTGTGCCCTGTTCTCCTGCCTGGGACAGCTGGCTCTGTGCTGCCTTTGGGTGTTGCTCCCTGTCCAGTCAAAACAGGAATTAGTCCCTAGCAGAGCAGGAGGAGTCCATTTCCTATCTTCTCCTGCACGCAGAACAGTGCAATTTGTCACCAATTTATGTCCTTCCATTTCACAGTGCCTTGCATGGAATTTTCCAGGATGTAGGCTGGGCTGCAGACTTTTCCCATTGCTTTGTTTGTTACCTGGAGCAGATGAATCAAATCCTAACGGTGCAGCTATATTTGGACAAACTCCATCAGGGCTGGTAGGACTGCAGATATGGTAGGACTGGAGACATAGTTAAGTGGCTGTCTTGGTGGTGGTGGGTTAATGATCAGAGTCTGAGATCACTTTGAATCGATAACCACTTTAATATCTCAAAGACGTCCTTAATGATTCCCTGTTCCTATGACAGGGATTTATCAGCTGATTCCATACAATCCCTCCTGGCCATAGCCACTGTAGAGGGAAGGCTCCTGGCTATAGGACAAAGTCTGATAAGGGATTTTGGTGGCCCCACATCCTATGACATGGGCCCGAAGAAAAGCTGCTGTTCATCATTGTGCATCTCATGCCATGCAGGAAATTGGTCACCATTGCCAGAGATGCTGACTCCAAAACAGGAATCAGCATCTCCTTTGACCCTGCCAAAGGTGTTTCCTCTCCGCTGACCCGGGAAAAGGGCAGGGGAATTCCTCAGAGATTGTATGCACTCACAGGAGAATTGTGTAGCCAAGTGACAGCTCCAGGTTCCACCCAAAGCACTGGTGGGGTTAAACCACATCTCTGGTGCCCAGGGCTCTCAGGCCATCTGCAGATTTTAGCTGGAGCGTGAAGCGAGGTCAGCCTCAGCAGGATGCAGCAGGCATCCTGCCTGTGTGGCTCAAGGCACCAGGCAGGGCAGTGCAGGAGGAGGAGGGAGAGCTGTACATTTCCAAAAGCACATCTGGACCAGCTGTGAGGTGCTGAGCACATGGATATCTCAGCTGCCCTGTGCAGAGGCTGCCACGGAGAAGCAGATTCTTTGCTACAATTTCTTAGGAGTGTCTGGCAGCTGTTTCTGCTGGGAGCTGAGCTCTGAAGGGACAAGGGGGAAGTGCTCCAGTCCCCAAGGGGAATTGCTGTGGGCGTTACAGCCTGCCTGTGTGCCCAGATCAGCAGTAGCTTCCTGCCTCTGCCCTCCTGCCTGTCCTTGGGGCTGCAGGAGAGGTGTGAGGATCGCACCAGGCATGGACACTGTCCCTGCACATCTCTTACATGCTGTGGCATCAGCAAGAGCTGGGCCAGGCAGGAGACACACAGCTGGAGATGCTGTTTCTCTGCCTGGAGCAGAGAGGACCCTCTCAGGGACAATCTGGGCTGCTGGGCAACAGATGTGACCTGGTCCCAAGTGTTCTGGGATGGATTTTGAGGTGGCAGCATGTAGGTGCTGGAAGGATATGGCTCTGCACCCCAGAGGGGATGGTCACACTGGTGCCCTGCCAGGCCACGACCCTGCTCCCAGCTTGGAACTCCAGCTAGCCATGGCTGGGCTGTGCCAGTGATGTCGCTGTGAAGGAAGATGCTGACTTACCAGCTAGGCAACAGCTTGAGCAGGGTTGGGGTCCAGGCACAGAGGGACCTGAGGGGCTGCAGGTGAGAAGGCAGTGCTGAAAAAGCTGTATTGAAAATCCTCCAAAAAGGGAGTGCTCAGAATGGCAGGGTGTCCCAACTCTGAGGCTGCCAACAGCCCTACTGGGATGGGTCCAGAGGAGCCTGTGGATATTATCCTCTTCCATGCTAAGAGCAACCATGCAGCAGAGAATGGCTTCATTGTCAGGAAGGGCAAAGTGCCATACCCATCCATGAGGTGTGAGCTGGAGGCTGGGGCTGTCTTTGCAGGTTGGAGGAGGAATGGACTCCAAAGTCACGGCTAGTCTCCTGGCAGCCACCTGGGTCTGCAGCATCATCGCCCTCATTCTGAGTGTAGTGAATGTGAAAGATGTGCTTCTGCCCCCCAGAACCAAGGTAAGATCCTTGGGAGGAGCACAGCTCTCACTTGGATGCTGGCTACCGTTGGGTGTTGGGTTTTGCCCAGGTTTCAGGCAGGCTGTGCTATTTGTCACCAACGTGGGGACAACACCCCACACAGACTGGAGCGGGTCTGGCAGAATTTGGTCATTGTGCCTGGCCCCACAGCACATGCAGCTTTT